CGTCTTTTTGCTTCTTTTGATTAATTTGCACTCCCAAATGGTCCTAAAATGTCATAAATACAATATAAGCCATCCACAAACCATAGTATATGAATTTTGCATGAATTGGAACTCAAACGATCGAGAAAAATCCGAAACAAAGCTGAAACATAGTAAAAACAGCATCTAAAACCTTCTTTTTACGCATGTAAACAAGCGTAATCATTTTACATCAATCATGTTGAGGGTCAAGTAACCGATTTCACTATTGAATGAAGCTGATCCAATTACAACAGGTCTCTCCTATTCCTTTGTCCATTCGAGTTTGATTTTCCCAGCACGCTCGACAACTCTTGTTAAGAACTCACCACAAGTTTTCGCACGACCTCGCATGAGTCCGACAATGATTTCATCACCTTCACTGTCTGATGATATTATGATTGCAAAGATAAAACAAGAAACAAAACAAATTATTAGGATTAGTATGAATCATAAATTATAAGCATACAAAAAATATAATATACCATAGCAGAGTACTCGTCAATATCAGAGCCATCGATTTCATTTGACGATGTTGTATCTTCATATTCATCGTCATACTCATCCTCAATTTCGTTTTCAACTTCATCAAAATCTAATATTATCTCAAACGTACCGTTATTGTCGGATATTACACTTGGGTCTACATTTGCTCTATGAAATGTCTGTGTTTCTAGATCCACTTCATCCACTACACATTGATTGATATTGACTTCACATAAATCAATCTCTTCTACATCAAGCACATCCCATAAACATCTATGTTGAATTCTCTGAGCTACTTTTTATCCATTACCTAATTGGAGATCATCGACATAAAATACTTGTTGTGCTTGAGAAACAAGTATAAATGGGTCATCCTTATACCATAGGTTAAGCGTGTCTATGCTTCTAAAATTATTATCCTTACGAACATAATTCTTCTTAGGATTTGTGTCATACCAATCACACCTAAATAGACGAACTCGTTTCTCTTTAATGTACTTCAATTCAATCACTTCCGTAATAATACCGTAGAAGTCAGATCTTTCATTATCATCTCCACCAAATACACACACTCCACAATTTGGAGTAGTGCAATGACTATCCCGCTCAATTGTGTTAAATCAAACCCCATTAGAAACACATCCATGATACGAGTTTACTCGACGTTCTGGGCCACAGGCTAGCGTATACAATTCATGAACAACTTCATTTGATGCTGAACAAACTTGAGATTGCATCTGAAGAAAAATTTTTAAAGAAACAATTGGTGAATATAATTTCATCAAATCAGGTTTCAATTATAATCCAGAGAACTCACTTTTCTTTTGAACCATTTCGGGAATAAGATCTAGTGAAGTCTGGTGAGATTACCACTATTTCCATGTTAAAGCTTCATTTCGTGCTCTCTACCCAATGATTTGAACAATTAATAGATTTTTTAAGTAAGAATAATTGTGTAAATGTATAAAAGATCATACTGTCTGTATTCATCAACTGCTTCGCAATTACTTAAGACATACCAATAATCTTTTTGTAACTCAGTATGCGATAATTGTTTCATTCTTGAACCACCAATTGGACGTGTATTTTGTGAAAACATAGACAAACATCTATTAGAGTTATTCAAATCTCGCAGATCATCATTCCGAACTGGCCTATTGAACTTTATTTCAATTTCATTTAGGTACATCGAACAAAATGTTAACGAT